GTTAAAACGGAAAAAATGTCGTACATTCTTGATATTCAGGAACTTATAATATGTAATGTGATTATGAATAGACAGAATGGAAATAAAAAAAGTGGATTTGTTTAAATCTTTTCCTTTTCCAATGCATTGTGTTATAGCCAGGATAAATGCCTACGTACTTATTATTTCCATACTTTTTGTATAATAAACTTACTCGATCTGTCAGTATGTCAGTATATTTGGTAAACTTAATTAATATATCGATACAAGAAGCTTTAAATTGACAGAAAAATTAAACAAATTTCAATCTAAATTACTTCTGCACCATTGTCTCAGTCTACGGAAAATGGCGGTTTTCGAAGACATCTTAGCTTGGAACTGATAACAATCTCTGATTGGCTTATCTCTGTAACCCCTGCCAGTTTGAGTGACAGGCGGCGGCGTAGTGTCAATTCTAATCGCCGATTGGCTATCTTATTATCGATGCATCGATTTGATAGACAGCTAGCGTCTGGTCAATTATTCGATAATCTACAGTAGGCGGAACGTCGTAAATTAATTAGCTACTGGCGGGGGTCAATTACGTCACGCGCCCACACAGTAGTCAAGTCGAACATTATTATCAAAGGTGTTTATTGATCAATCTTAGATGAAAATAGGTTTTTGTTTTGCAATTATGCTTGAACAACATTCATCCTAGTCCCAGTACTGATAAATACTTTCTAAAGATAATTTATCCATAAAAAGAATATATTGACAAATATTTTTTTAAAATAATATCTGTCAACACTGATATAGACATCGATATTTAATGTCCATTTTGCTTTCTCTTCTGCATTTTATTTTTTTATTTAGTGTTTCAGAGATAAAATGTATATAAATTACGCTAAAAGTACTTGCTCTGAAATAATTCCTACTATATTATACAGTGAGCGCATTTTAAATAAATGATTTTTATTTAACTACATAATATGTTTACCTCAAATAAGTTATTGGCACACTTTCGTACATATACTCGTTATATAGTTCAATACCAAAGAACATTTTTTTGCTGGAACGTTTTCATATGGGCACATTCTGTTATCTAAACCACGTGCTATGGAACTGGTCTAAATAGGTCTCCAGGTATTGATATCTTTATGTTTATACTTTTTACAAATATTTTTAGATAAAGTTGCAGTGCAGATAACAACTTGTCCATCGATATATAAATTGTGTCCCTTTCTTTCAATTTAATATTTAAAAACCGATAAACCGATGACCGATAAAAAGGGCGATATGAAATTCAGCATCCAGCATTTTGGCTTATTGTAAATCCAATAATCTGACGAAAGTTTTTAGAAGTCGAAATTAATATGGTGACTAAATTATTTATTTGTTAATGTCAAAACAACAAAACCAGTAAATATCTTATTTCCTTTATTTTTGTCGTTTACGTGAATGGCTAAAATTTATTCTATATATTGAATATAATATCACAATAGAAGTTTGTTCTAAAATTCAATACGAACATTGCTTTAATTTCTAATGTTTTGTAGGATTATATATGCCGACAAAATGGATGTCATGAATTTATTTTAAGTAAACCAATCATTTCAGTTTTAATTGTCATTCAATTTATTTTGCTTCGACCAGACCTTTCAATTTTTGTCGCAAAAAACAAATATTTCAGATTTTCAGACATGGCATTAATTTTTGAATATATGCATTTAAAATTTAGTATATATATGGTCTTCTTTTTGACAAAACTATGCGATTTTCTAAATAACGAGCAGAAAAAAATAAAAAAATGATTAGTGCTTTGAATATTCAACTGAAATAGGGAGCAATTGTCAAGGCTGATTTTGTACATAACCGTTGATTGTTCGGCGTCTTTGATGTGCAACATCACCATTAAATTTGTTTGCATTTAAGACACAGATTGTCAAAAAATCAAAATGGAGCGAACGCTTGCTTCAATTCAGCGATCTTTTATTTAAAAAAAAATAGATTTAATGAATAAACGTAAAAGGTATATTAAAAAGTAAGTCAGAGCTAGATAAAAAATTATGATAATTTGGATTTATTGGTTATTATTTTGGTAATTAATGATCCAAAAATACTTACAGTTATTATCTAACTTCTTTCTTTTATTTGTTATAACAATAATGTGAAAAATTACTACTTGAACACTCAGTGAAAGACACCAAAAAGCCAGTGCTCAAAAATTCAAGAAATGCAGTGCAGTATTTCAAAATTTTCTGAGGGGGCATGCCCTGCCGCCCCCTAATATGCCTGTGACATTATAATATTATTACATGTATTATGAACCCTAGCCCTGTTCTCTGAAATTCAGTTTTTAATATAAGCCGCTCATAATTATTTCCAAAATTAAAGGGAGCTTATCAGGACATAAGATCAATAAAATGAAGCGTGCGTGATTTAGTGCCCTTATAACCTATTTTTAGAACAATCTAAAAGGGATAACCAATTATCGGGATAGACAAAGGGAAGCAACCTGTAGATCTTAAATATGTAACTTAATTCAGTTATAAAAATGATAACTGCTTTAAGTTACACCCCTGACTGTCTGAAAAAGTGAATAAATTGCAGACACGCGCAGCAAAGAATATATACAGTATTGGGTAAACCAGTTATTGAAACGCAATCTTTGCAACTTTTTCTTCAATTAAACTGGTCAATTTTTGAAAATAGGTGCAAGTATCAAAATGCATTATCAAGGATTGGCTCCTTCCTACATTTCAGATATCATAGTGTTCTCGAAAAATGAAACAATTCATATCTAGATCAACTACTTATGAAACATAATTGTAAAACCTAATACAAAATATGTTAAAAGAACTTTTAGAAATAAAGCTTTGTAAGTATGGAATAATTTACATTTATATATTACAGAATCTTCGTTTCTATATGCTTTTAAAAGAAATATGAAAATAAAATATTTATTTGATGTACAGCAACATAAATTATTAAATTAATCTGATGAATACATGTGGCTGTCGCTTTAAATGTTTGTTGATTATATATATATTTTCTATGTGTTTACATACATTGTATTTGAGGATTTCTTGACCTTGATTAATTGAAGGCCATACTGTAAATAAGACATGTATTTCTTACTATATGTTCCTTAATTATATTCTGCTGGCAAAACATTCGACAGGACATTCAGTAAAACATTGAAAATTTACGGAATTAATTGCTTACATGACATTCGACAAGACACTCGGCAGGACATGCAGCAAAACCTTGAAATACTACAGAATTTCTTGCTGGCAGGACAATCGGCAGCTAGTATATAAAAAAAGACCTAACCATTTTAAATACCGAATGTTCTGCTGGTAGGGCAGTCAGCAGGACATTGAAACTTTCCCAAATCCCCTGATGACATTACATTCGGTAGTTAATAAAACAATTAAGACATTGAAACGTTACTTTATTTTTACGTTTAGTGGACTAAATAGTCTGATTTAAGAACAGACTAATGAAATAATGATTATTCATATTTCAATGGCATTAGATAATAAAAAAATAAAGGCTCAATCACATGATCCTAAAATATAAAATTGGCCTTGATCCGTCGAAGGTTCGTTCGCTCGTTTCGCAACTTCTCGGCATCGGATAAAAAAAATACTGTTATTGGTCAAGTGCCCCACTTTGAAAAATAATCGTAACCACTCAGTTTTACTTAGCATAAAGATTTATTGAAGTCGCCCGATGAGGTCTGAATGTTTGAAAGTTTCCCGTTACTAACTAGAATTCGGTGATGTTTTGATTTAAGGGTAGACATGAACACGCAGCGTTGTGACGTCATAGAAGAAGTTGACGTTAGCAACGTCATATTGCGCCCGGAAAATTGCACAAGCTGTTAATAAATCGTTTAGGATGAATAATTAATGGCTAGTGAAAATCCAGGCTGTTGTGTTTGGCTGATAAGTTTAAAGAAATCTTGCAACGAAAGGGTGAGTAGAATTTAAGAACTGAAACATTCAATTAAGATGATTAAATAAGAGTTTTTGTGCATGAATTAGAAGGCACGAATTACTTTGGTAAATTTAAATCTGTATGCCTTCAGATGAGCCTAATTATTTCAAGAAAATTAAACTTGAGAAAAATGTTCTAAGATTTAAAGAAACAGTTAAAGATCCTGTATGTTGTATTTGAGTTTGTATACCACACTTAACTGGAATTATATACATTGTATATGTATATAATTATGCTTTTAAAACAATTTTCAAACACCGAAGAATATGTCAAATATGTATAGTGTACTGCAAATACTTGTACATATTGTATGTAATCATTAAAATATATGCATCCATTTCTTATTGAAAAAAATGACTTACACTTTATAGAAAATCAAATTTTATTACCTCCCTTTATTTACATGAAATGTTAAAGTCGGTTATATCTTTATAAATAATGCTTTTTGGAACTTACAAAATTGATAAATGTTAATTTAAGCATCATATTTATGATATAAAACCATAAAAATTTGTGTTACATGATCAAGCTTCAAGAAATAATTTTAATAATTTATAGGTAATCATAATGTGTTATTAATGACTGATTTTTCAGCATAATTATATCATCATATTTCTTCTGCGTACTAACGCAATAAGGGCTTATTATCATCATCATCATATCATCATCATCATCATCACTACCACCACCACCCACCACAACCACCCATCACCACTTTATTCATCATCATCATATCATCAACATATCATCATTATCATTAGTATTATCATTATCATTAGTATTATCATCATCATTGTCATTTTCATTATCATTAGTATTATCATTATCATTATCATCATCATCATCATCATCATCATCATTTTCATTATCATTATCATTATTATTATTATTATTATTATTATTATTATTATGGTAATATTGATTAAATAATAAAAAGGTGATAAATAATGAATGATGAAATAATAAATGAAAAATATAGTTTCTAAGATTTTTAGTGATTCTCAAAGATCCTTACGTAATAGTATAATAGAGAAACTAAAACAAATTTATTTGCTTCTTAAATTTAAAGTAGCTAGATATTAAAAGGTTGGCGGCTACAGACTTTTATAATGCGATCAGTGCAAACCAAGATTAGTCGGCACATCTGTCTTCACTGTTCGTTATTCTGTCATAATTGAGCCGCGTCACGACAAAACCAACATAAAGGGTTTGCGACCAGCATGGATCCAGACCAGCCTGCGCATCCGCGCAGTCTGATCAGGATCCATGCTGTTCGCTATCAGTTTATTTACTTGTTATAGGGTCTGTAAGCGAACAGCATGGATCCTGATCAGACTGCGCGGATGCGCTGGCTGGTCTTGATCCATGCTGGTCGCAAACGCACTATGATGGTTTTGTCGTGACGCGGCTCATATATCAGTCCATTTAAGATATCAACATGATTTTACTAGTAAGGTACATTTTTTCTTTTACAGTTTGCAAGATTTCGAAACCGCTTGCGCCAAAGATACTATGCAAGAAGAGGCAAGACTCTTGACCCAGAAACCCTGTTGAATGAAACAGGTACTGCCGACATGGTCGTCGGAAAGATTGCCAGCAAGGCAAACAAAGTCGTTCCTCAAAAGTTGTCATTTATGAATGGTATAGTTATTTGCTTGTACATTATGTTTTCTAAAAAGTGTACTCACACACTTTAGCGCAGTAATATTTGTTTGACAAGAATTTTGAAGCACTTAATATTGTTTGATTTAGCCTATTTATGTACAAGAAAGACAGTATAAAAAAGACACCTCCAGATGCACGCTAAATTTCATGAAAATTTGAAAATGTATTTAACAGTTTAATATTGTAAAGTAACCAAAAGAATGCAATTTACACATTATCAATGGCATTTACAATATATGTAAATTACTATAAAGAGGTCAAAATATGCAAAAATAGCCATTACTGCGTTAGTAACGCAGTAGAAATATAGTTATACATACTGAAAAATTCGGTCATTAATGGCACATAAAATGTAAATATTTACTAGAATTTTGAAATTTTATACCTTTCCTAAAATCTTATTATATTTTTTTAGGTTTGATTATATTGAAATATGTTTGCTCATCTGGAGGCGTGCAGCTTTAAGTCGTATGTCTATCTTTTGCTATCGCGCCTTCTCGGCCCTTTTCCGCCAAACTTGATAATAGCCGAGATGTAACGATTGTCTTTTGTAAATTGTACAAAAATAAAGCAAAAGTATAACGTTGAAATCAAGCATAAAAATCAGACAACACATGCTTTTTCCAGACGATGCTGTTGATACAGAAAGTACAACAGTGCCAGATACCACAGCAGACGACAAGACCATAGCAGACGACAGATTTGGTAAATACAGTCATTTATCATATAAATAAAATATTGAATATTAAGAAATATTGATGAAATAAAATGCGTATTTTCATTTTTCGTATTTTCACTGTATTTTTTTTCACTGCAGTGTTCAAACATATTTTCACTGGTGTCTTGCGGACTATAATTTCTTCACACAACATTTAAAGGGAATTTAACCCCTTCAAAATGTACTGTCAAAAAAAAGAGAAAAATGTATATAACAAACAGAAAATTCATGTTTTTCTCATAAATACAGGATTTATTTTCAACTTGTGATATGAAATTTATCATGTTTCACTCGTGGTTATTGCCACTCATGAAATATTTATTTTCAAAATAAACGCTATATTTAAGTATCCTCTGTTATTTTTACTATTTTTACAATTTCGTTACTTATTTTAAATACTTAAAAAAATTACATGAAATAAAGCGTAACGAATTTAACAATCTTTTTTTTTTAAGTTTTAGAATACGTTACACACATCATAAACAAGGCAGCCGACACTCTGAGACAGGAGTTGCCTAGCAACACAACCACCATATCAGTGATACCAGCAGACGACAACATATCATTGTCCTCCAGTATCATCAGCCGTAAGTCATTTGGTTTATATATATGTCAATTCAGAGTTACTTCAAAACATTTTGTATATAAAAACTAAGTTAGGACATCTTCTTTGCAAAACAAATTAAATTCATACCTTTTCTGATTTCTTCACACCACCCGTTTTTCTTCGAAATACCGGCCGATGAAGTGTTCGCGGTATCAGAAGTTGAGAACTTTAAGGGTGCGCGCGCATGGATTAACCCCCTTGCAATTGTAACCACTTCTGTAGTAGGGTCCGTACTCGACAGCGAAAGCTGCTTTTTGTGCCCTACACGGGCGGATGGACCCTTATTAAACATAGCCTAAAAAGGCCGTAATAGGAATAACGTGGGAGATGAGCCTATATATAGTTATAGCATTTAGACTGTCACTGCGCTGCCAGCTCAATGCAGTGGCTATGTTTTTGCGCCAAAATGACCGGAAATCAGTCAACGGCACAGCGACTGGCGGCGTTTACCTTCTGCCCTTAGATTATTTCTTCAAGGGCTCATTTGTGTTAAGAAACCATTAGAAGAAGGAGCAGATAATCCAGTCTCAGATCTTGCGTGGCAATTATCGGCAATTCAGTTAACCTATCACAGTCAATCAATTGACGACTCCACAGATTTTGCCAGTTTTATCTGTTGAATACAAGGTTTATACTCTGGCATTGTATTCCATATGAGGTCGTAATGTTTTCATCTTTACTGCGATGTTTTGCCATCCTATTCTTAAAACTTGTCGGACAAGTACGCAGCAACGCTTTTACCAGGTTTTCAAACAGCCTATTGGCAAAAGATAACATTTGTTTTGTATCATAGTTTGGGGACCTTTCTGTTGAAAAAGTGTCAGAGTTAAATCGTATACATATACATGCACAGTGCGGTAACTGGAGTGCAGGCATCATTTACCCGCACTCCAGATAATGCCCGTTGATTGGTTCATTTTTGCTGGGGTTTACTTATTGTGACGCAGAGAAATGGAAAGGGGCAGAAATATCATATTCAAATGCCCGTTCATTGGTTAATTTTTTCTGGGGTTTCATATTATGACAACAGGGAACATGCTGTCATGTTTGACTATGATACACCAAAACACTCGGCAATCTGATTTATACTCGGGGGCTACGCCCCATCGTACAAATCAGATAGCCTCGTGTTTCGGTGCTCTTTCTATTACTTAATTTTGTGTATTATACCTTTAAGCCGGTGCTAGGGTCGTAGGTTGTAGTTTGTACTTGACAGTACCGTCCATGAACAGGCTCAATGAAACCGAGCCTGCAACATTTAATTTTTGTCGTTTTTGACTTTGTTTAGGGATTCTTATTTTCTTTGTTTAGATTGTACATGACACAATTAATTTCTTGACAGAAATTGCTGATATGGCTGTAACGGAGAGCCTGTCAAATATTGTGATGGATGTCGACATGAACCACTCTGCTACTACAGCTCCTAGAACTATCAAAGAATTCAAGGGTAAGACTTTTTGTTAAAATGGACTCCACTAAGGTTTTTTTGACATGCCGTAACTAGAAATAATGTTTTGAGATTAATGTTTTTTAATTCCAGAACGATTAATCTACTAAAGAAAAAAAATGACAAAAATTGAAAGGCACTGTACTCAAAATGGGCTAAAAAACACAAAAAAGTACGATTTTCAATTTAACTATAGGTATAATTTATAATTATCTTTTTCATACAAACCGAAAAATATTTACCAATGCAATACTTAGTTCTTGAAATGATAAATCGCAAGTTTTCATAGATTATAATACAAAATAGGCGTCGAATCGACCAAGAGAACGACATTTCTCAAGTTATGATTTTAATAAATGGTTTGTTAAACACAAGTGCAATTTACAAAAGTTATCGAAACACTGAACTCGTGGAATGAAAAAATAAATAAAATAAATAAATAAATAAATAAGTAAAAACATAAATAAATCGTTCTATATTTTTTACAGAAGTATTTGGCATAACCGGATATGACGACATTGATGACGGTCTTCCACCTGTAAGCGTGTAAGGTAAGATTCAGGTATATTATTTGCATTAAATCCAATGTTGAAATAGTTTGGTTAAAGTACCTCTGCAATATAAAAATAAATAGATCTATAAACAAAACCACAGGCGCTAGTCACATAATCAAATATTTTACATAAACGGTCTATTTATATGTTTATTATATCTTATAATAGCATATAGTCCATATAGAACAGAGAAAAAAGTTTGAACTGTCAAAAGATGATGGGTCCAATATTCCCAAGGGGCAAATAATCAATATAGATTTTAGGAAACGTAATGTCGTAGTTCTCTCCCCTGCCGCATTCAATGCTGGTTAAGAGACATATGTTATTTTTTTAACCTTATCCGAAGACTGACGGAAAGGGCCGAGTAGTTGAGATTGTAACAATATAGTCAATTTAGCTCAACTTGACAGCGAAAATATTAGCATAATGTCACTTTAGGAGCAAGCCCTTTGTTACTACATGAACACACAGTTTGTTTTCTTAATTTCAGAGTACAAGAAGAAAAAAAGAAAGAAACATCGGTTGTGTTTTTGTTTGTTTTGTTGCTTTTTGTTGTTTTGCTGTTTTTTTTGTGTGTTTTGTTTTTCTTCATGTTTGATTTTTTTCTACTTTGCTTCATTTGTTTGTTTTTCATCTTTTTCGCTTATCTACATGTTCTGCTTAGGCATCGACTTATTTTTTCTCAGATATTATTGTTATAAAAATGTTTTCTGAATTTTATTTTCACCAATAAAGTCCATTGAAACATACTCTACATAGTGTTTTATTTGACATTCGTTCGAACTGTTTCAGAAGCAGCCGACCGTACTTTCAGTCTCAGTTAGAAAACTATCTATGCCATAAGTTTCCTTTCCTTGTGCCATTATTTAAAGTACTTCAGAATAGGCCTACACTAAACAAGAGTTTGAGTGATGCTTGACTGACGCTGTTGAACATAATCAAAGTTCAAAAGATGTTTGTTCAAAACATTACGACCTGCGGCAGATGCTTCTGTTACTGATGATTCCACAGACACTTTGGGGTCAGACCCCCCCCCCCATTTTTCACGTGTGTTCTCCAAGTATCCACAGAAATCCGTAACGTTTTCCTAGGAACTCCGTGACAGTTATCGTAAAAACTCCAAGAAGATATCATAGTAACTCCATCCTTCGTGTAACAGTTTCTCTCCCGCGTATTAAATTAATCTGAACAAAAGCATCGATTTCTTGCTCAAATGAATTTGAGGAGAATATATTGAAAAAAAATACAGGAAATAAATGTATAACGGACCTAAATCGGACCGTATCACTGCTCTTGAACAAGTTTGTCTATATATCGGATAGATATCGGTCCGATGGCGGAAAGCCGACTGCGATATTCCGACATGTAGCCGATATAGGCCTGTATGTTTGCCAGGATAGCATAGCATCGCATTTTCAATTAACTCTTAACATTTTATACACTTAACATTTTATATTAAAATTTAACACTAAAGCCACATTCACATATTACCGGTCTGACTTCCCGGTTTGCCAAGGTTTAGTCCGCCGGGATCAACCGTGGAAAACTGGCGTAGTGCCGTAGCGATTCCGTGAAGTACCGGGACAAACAGTATTGAACCGGGACAAACCGGGAGATCGCCACGGCTGTAATAAAATGTTTAATACAGCCGGGGCTCATCGACACTCACCGGGAAGGAAGCCCAAACCGTGTTTATAGGCTTGGCACCGGGAATCGCCGTGGAATCACCGTATCTATACCGAATCCATACCGTGAACAGGGTGGCGTGTTAATAACTGTCCACACGGCAAAGCCCCGTTGATGACACGATGTCGTCACTGAAAAAAAACAAAAAAAAAAAACAGGCAGAGCTACGCACGGTAGAGCCAGGGAACACTGCGGTTATTGGCGAACGCTCCGGTTGGACCCGGTAATGTCCCGGATATTGCCGGAAAGTCGCGCTTATACAAGGGTGATAGACTGTGATGCCGATAACAGGTAATTTAAAGAACATGTATGTATACACTAGTCTTGAAGTGCTACCTTGGATGTTTTTGTTAAATGAAGTGTGTGTGTGTTTGCGTTTGTTTACCCTCGCCACCGGAAAAAGACCATATGGGCGAGCATATACTTCATTTATAATCATTAAAAAAAATGGGGATCTGATGTTTATTATACTTGTTATTATATCCGTACATGTGTTTATGTGCATAGTTAAATGAAGACGAAGAAGGGCCTTTCTCTGTTTTTTCTTGTGGGGCCGAGCTTTCCTTACTGTCATTCCTTGCTATCTGGGGACATCGTTTCCAAAGGTACTTCAACCTCTGTAGGCGTTGTAGGCACAGTTTTTCCAACTTTCTTCCCTTTCCCGTTTGTTGGCATCTCTGCTGTCTTTTTACCAAATGACTGATGTCAACGTGGTCAAGCAGTTTTATCCTCATAAACTTGAACCGGGAAGCATCGGCGCATTACCGGGACAGTACGTAGCGGCATCACCCGTAGCGTTACCGTGGCCAAATAGGCGATGGTCGGGAAGGACCGTGATGAAACCGTGTCTAGGCGGGTCTCCACCGGAATCAACCGAGAATACACCGGGTTAGCATTGGCTATTACCGTATATATATCCGGTGCTATATCGGGCTCTGAACCGGGGATACACCTTGGCTCTGTAGGGGATGTGTAAACGCATTTTTTTTTTCAGAAAAACACCACGGAACACCGTAGTGATACCGACAGTGTAAATGGAGCTTAACATTTAACATTGACATTTAACATTGACATTTAACACTCACATTTTACACGAACACATTTAACATTGACATTTAACACTCACATTTTACACTAACATTTAACACTGACATTTAACACTAACATTTAACACTGACATCAAACACTGACATTTAACACTGACATTAACATTTGAAACATACACATACATGTTTATGGTCTCGTTAAATAAATAGTGCTTAATTAATAGTGATAAATTAAGTTTAAATTTTTCTAAAAAATAAAGAAAATTTATTAGCGATTTCATTTCTTTTTTTCTGTATAATATTTCATGTTTTTTTTTTTTTATATTTTGTGAACGTGGAGACCATTTACAATACAGTTTCTGGGTAATGAATCAGTACGCTTTTTGATCTGATAACAATTTCCCTATAGAGAACCTCTCGAATGAAGTCCTGGTTGAAATAGTGCTGCCCGTTTGTCAAACATTATATCGTGGGAAAAATATTTTGTAATATATTAAGTGAATCATACCTATCAAAAATTATCTTTTATCGTGGATAAAATTACTACTGGTAGTTTTAAGACGTAATACATTGCAGAAAAGTAGCTAAAGAAAATCAAATTAATTTAAATGTGTGTGTCTTTATAGTCCATTTATATAAAAAGGTTTCACGCAATTTGTTAGAACACCTTTCTTATAGAAAGTAATAAGATGATTTATTTAAATTTCTTGGTAAGGAACTGTTTTCAAAACGTTTCTTGTTATATAACCGTATTATATGCAAATGCAAAAATCATCATAAACTTGCTACGGAAAGATGAAGATAAAATAGCTGTAAAATGCTTAATTGTGTAGGAACAAGAATAAATGTGCTTTGAAATTCCTTTCTATATCAAGTCACAAATATCAAATTTTGAAATTATAACACACAATTAACACAATCATTGTATACTGCAGTATATAGTAAACATTCACGTCATACAGAACACCGAAATTTCTTTTCTGCAAGTAATTATTGTAAACATGGAGAGTTCAATATTATTTGTCAGCATCTAAATTAATTAACATTACTTAAGTGTATCCATTGTGATTAAACTTTTGGTATAAACCTTAATCCCCAACCAACTTCCATAATGATTCCAATTCCTTATACAATTGAAGATGAAAAGTTGTTTAAGCAGGTGCTAGAGAGGGTGATGAATCTTACACCATTCATTAACTATCACGAGCAGACTTAACCGAGTCTGCAGCTTGAGGATTCTTTTCAATTCTGGATTTTAATAGCCTTTCTACTCGATAATTCTGACATATGCACGATCCCTACACAATAGATATGTTTACTCGCTCAGCTCTTTAACCGAAAAAAAATATTTGGTATAGTATAACAGAATTGATCATCGTCAGCTACCCACGGTATATATTACGTCCATATTACATGTGACAGAAAGGGCATCGAAACACGAGGCTATCTGATTTGTGCGCACGGAATATATACCGTGGGTAACCGACGATGGTTATTGATAGATGTACAAGTTTTGATTAATATTAATAGTTGATGTTACCGAACTAAATTTGGTTATATCATTTGGTATAGCCTAAACGACACAAATGACTATCTTTTGTGAAGGCATGCAGTAATTGCATAATAAAATACTGACCTTAATTTGTTACGATTTTGCGATTCTTTAAAAATGGTATTGCACGTTTTGACGTGACGTCATTTGTGTTATTCAAACATTAGTGTATTTAGACGTGCTAAATGTTAGCGTTACATTAAAGGTGCGTCAATGAAAAAAATGTATCATTTGCGCTTTAAACAGTCTTTATTTTGGGTATGTGATAAACAGTGTACATAGTATATTCGTGTAATTTCGATATGTATTGAAGAATGAAGCGGATCTTGTACATATAAATACGAGAATCCACCTTTAACTGTGTCGGTTTTATACAAAAATGATCAATCCTACATGGACTATTTTAAGATCGGCGTGAGAATTACCCATTTGCAATGTTTTTCAATATTTCCCACGATCTGACATATCACCATGAACTATAGAAGCCAGTACACTGTCTATAAATAGCAGAGAGTCTCGTGACGCGCTACGATCAATACGTACCAACCGAACTTATTCGACCATCGCAAAAATATCGCTGATTGGCAAATTCAGTCCACGCTTGTCATATAGATGTATCTCATAATTGAAAAAAAAGATAAATATAATAAAAAAAATGATAAATCCGGATAAGTGAAATTTAATGTTGTACTGCACTTGAAATCTAGTATTCGTTTATTATAAGAAACAATCGTTTATAACTTCGACCCCAATTGACAGCATGGGTGTGATTATAAAGACAATAAACATTACCTTATGACCTATATTTGAGTAAACAGCGATCAAGGTCATGTAGGATCGGACAAGAATGCAATTTAGGTTATAAATTTCGTAAGATGCAACTTACATAACTCATTTCTAAAAATAGATTTTAACAGTACGTGATGCTTCGACTTAAACTTTTGACTTTTTTTCTTTGCAAAATCAAGCCTTTTCCATTAAATAAAGTAGTCTGCGATTTTTATAGTTCGCAGACATATTTAATTTATTTTGAACAATGTACGTGTTACTAAAATGCTTAATTATTTTTTATAGATCTAGATATTAATTAATTATTATTATTATTTGAAGAATTACATGCACCTATTGTTTGAGTTGGTCTCTGGCCAAAGTCGAGGTCAATTGTTCAATCTGACCTGGCGTGATCAATGTAAAATCACTTGTACTTAAAGTTGGGTTATTTTTAAACTTCTTTCTAAACACACGTGCTCAGAAAAAAGTTAATTCAATTAAATTGTCGGATAAATTTGAAAATATTAGATCTATTCAATTTTAGTCTGCAGTCAAATCCATTTTTATTATTTTCTTTTCTAAATAATGAACATCCCCTTTCTTCATGCCTCAGCTTCGATCTTGACCGATTAAAAATATATCTTCTTGCGGTTATTTTCTAGCTCATTCCCTGTTGGGTGCCTCTAATATAGCGGTGACGTCAGAACATCAATTGTTATCCATTCAACTATCCAATGCATGCATTTTTACAACCGTGACGTTTAGTTATACCGCAAAATACTACAGTGTCGCATTCTCACGCATTTTGTCAATTAAAACCGGAGTGGACTATTTGGACAGGTAAGCATAATTAAACTTAGATAATTATTTAAATTTTAATTAAAACATATGTAACATATAACCATCAGTTTGTTTGCTTGCTGTTTAGATTAATTTTGTTGTAATTTAATTCAAAATAAATTGCAAGATGCACCATCTTGTTATAATAGTAGATAGTTAAGAAACTCAATATACTTGCACTAAGGAAGTGCACACCTATATATTTACTTTTTTCTACAGAACCCAGCTTAATGTCTGGAGTCGTAATTATTCAACTGATATCTTGTACTTAAAAGCTTTTTGATGCAGATCGTATCATAATTTGTTGTAAACAATATGCTGAATATATGTGCTGTACTGTAGGGCGTTTATGATGCTAAGTTCACTTTCTTTTCGGTCTATATTTCGTATTTGTATTTGAAAGACCCTGGATATGTAAGGGTTCATTTCTTGAAAAATATTAAGTGTCATGTGTAAATATGGTCGAGCGTTTGTAATTTTTTTATCTATTAACATTATAGTTTTGTGACATTTAAAGAAAAAAATGTTTCACGTAAATTCAGAACAAATGTTGCGACCGTTTCACTTTTTGGCACAGAAACGTAATTCTTAAGGTGGGGACTTGAACCTCCCCCACCCCAGCCATTGTAAGAACTTAATAAAGGTGGAACTTATGCATTGGTTGTTCAGCACTTTTGAAGAAGCGTTTATTTGGAGTAAAATACTTCAAATAATACATCGACCACCCGGACTGACATGAGTGAACGGACTGTCGAATAGATCAATAGGGTTTATGTATTTAAATGTCTTAAAATAGACCCGAGGTCAGTGTGATCACGATTTTATGAAATTATATATTTTGTTTGAATAGTGGCACGTTGACTATTAGTTCGCATGGTTCGTTTCGATTTACAAAGATTAATTAGATTCCGGTGTAAGGTTAAGAGCTGGGACGCACTTGAACGAAGGATCGACATTTATGTTCGTGCATGCGCGATTTATTCAAAACGTGACGAAATGGTGAAATTTGACAAGATGCATAAAGTCATTTTTGTCTGATCATGTATGCTAGTCTCGGATCATATTTCTGGTCTTTATTTACACATGTACATTTATAATACTGCACGTTTGTAACGTCAATTTTCATTGGATAATCGTGACGTTTTATATAGTTAAGAACTCTTATTTTTTTCTCTTGCTGTATTATAAATTCGTTATAAGGATTGTTGACAGGTTATATGGCCGTATATAAACGACTGTTTGCAATATAACCCGAGCCTTTAGGCGAGCCGTTTATAGCCGTTTATATAGGGCCACATAACCTGTCAACGACCTTTTTAACTAATAATATACACGGCTGCTGTCAATTTATGAAAAAATCTCACTATGCTTGCAGTATTAAAATCGTTATAAATATTTCTGACAGGTTATATGGCCGTATATAAACATGTGTTAGCAATATAACCCTTCCCTAGCGGCTCGTGTTATATTCCCAAACAATCGTTTATATAGGGCCATATAATCTGTCAGAAATCTTTATAACTAATAATATATAGTGTAAGTCCCCATTTCAAATTGTCCACGGACACTTGTAATTATTTACACAGCGTGAAGAATGATTTATCAGTGTTTGCTTTTGTTAATCCATCATAACTTGCTATCCAGCTACCCGAGACGGCCCGAGTAGGCCTATATTTAAACTGTGAATCTAGGTTATTATAACACTGTGAGGTTAATGACACATAAACCTTGACAGTATTTTTTTTATTTAAAAAAAATGTACACCACCCTACAAATCGATCAAGGTATATAAATTATACCTATATGCTTTCTGTAAAGTGATAGATTTCTACAAATGAATATATATTAATCCCGGATAGATGCTGGTCTGTGACTGCACTACTGGTTTGCAAATTGATCCCGTTTGTCAAATCATTTTGGGTTATTGTTTAATCATGTACAGTCTTTACCCGAAGTTTGACGGAAAGGGCCGAGAAGTTGAGATTGATTAAGTTCATGTGTACGAAAAAAAGCGATATGGTATCGTTGTGTTGCGTAAGCTTATATAACCACTAAAAACACTCACATGTTTAGTGCGGATGACTTTTTTGTACCACTGGCAAACGTTTGGTTTGGCAAATAAACAATTTTAATGAATATTATTCGAAGTCACGTTCAACAATGTATCGCACGTTAATTAAGGGCAATTGCGTCACGTCTCATCTCTATTGTTTAATTAAGTAGCATCTTACAATATAAGCATTTTATTTTTCTATCAAATCGTTCTTTAGCATTGAAAGACGGAGTTCTCAAAGAATGTGAAATAACTTGTATCTAAGTTAATCTTATTTAGTCATGTGGTTAGATGACAATTATCAGTTTATAAACATAAACATGTATATTGTTGTAAAATTTATCTTTGTTTTGTCGTATGTATACAAGTTACGTTACTATGTCACTGTGGTCCTTGAAAGTGAATTGATACTGGGGTTGGGGTTGATTAAAACTGGTTAAATAGGTCAGACAACTCTTACGATCTCGTTGTTTTTAGAATGATAACGATTGTTTAAGAAAGATATTTCACCTTTAACACATGACAATTTCATATGACAATTTCCCCTTGATAAGAGTATAGCTTTAAACACTATTTCATTTGAGTAAATCATTCTTACACTTTAAGGTTTGAAACTTTTCGGACCAACTTGTCACTAGGGGGAAAAAAAGCTATAACCACATAACCATGGATATTGAAAATTTTGATTTAAGTCTAGTCAAACAGGAGCCGGTTGACGAAAGTTGCGTGTTTTCCCAATGTTATACGACCAATATTTTACGTTATCCAGTGACGTTAAAAACGGAACCGGATTTCTTACGTGACTGCACCACAATTCAGGATATGTTTGAATATAAACAGGAATATGATGTTTTTCCTTTTAAATCAACAGATATTGATCTAGAAGTGGAAACAACAACGGACAGAAAAACAACAATGACCGAAGTGTATACCCAGATGGATAATTCCTCTACCATACCACAGCGACGGAAAAGAAGCATTGATCGGAAAAAAGTGGGAAGCGGAAACCCGTACACGTCCGTACCATTACCACCGTGTAAAGTATGCAGTGGAAATGCGACCGGATACCATTTTGGTGTCATCACGTGCGAGGCGTGCAAGGTAAAGTTCTTTTTTTCTGAGTGATTCTATATCAGATCATATCGCGGGGGGGGGGGGGCGTGTCTGAACGGTCAACACGTCAGACTAGTAATCTAAACTGTATTGCCCGATTGGGTTCGGCAAGACTTTGTTTCCCTGAGCAAAAACTTTACATACATAATAACATTGCTATTTAAAGTAAGGCTGGAACGGATACGACAATGTTTCTATCAGCTCATATTTCCAATATCATTAACGTAAAAAATAAATACTGTACAAACCATACATATATATTTATATATACATGTACGATCTTCTCTGGCCTTTAAACTTCAATTATATGTCCATGTTGTTGAATTTGTCGGAGTTATAGTTTTTCTTCTAACAAGCAAGTCTACACTTATAGCTGCTTTCGTTTATTTTTACAGCAGGCTTCTTGATTACAATGAACACATGATTTTATTGAATTTGTTTATTATTTCTGTAGGCGTTTTTCCGCCGAGCGCTGCTCCATAAGCACAACTATAAATGTATAAAGGACGATACTTGTGAAATAACAGACAAGAAATTGGGAAATTGTTCCGCATGCAGGCTTAAGAAATGCTTTGATATTGGGATGTCTAAGGGAGGTAAGTGTGAAAAAGTAACTTTTTACTTGTTATCTTTCTCCAATAAACTCTGTCGGACCGAATTGCTCTCCTGTTCTACTATTTCATTAATGAAATAAGTTATTATAACCTTTTTTGTTGTTTTTTTTAGATAAGCGAGACTCTCTCTATAAATTTGGGAGAAAATTCGTTGCTTCAAAACTTGAAGCTGGCTGTTTGTGTTGTTGTATTTAAAAAAAAAAAAATTTGGTAATAAGCTTTTAACAAAAAATGTTGGTAACATAATAAATATAAAAATTGTGTACACCATGACAAGGACACTTAATGTGTCTATAAATGTTCTTGAATAGTTTATTTTTAATTATCTTATGTTTGTTTTAATTATAGGCGTACGTCGTGGCCGGTATTCCATAGCTATCCGCACGCAAGCCATACTGGAAGCTAAAGCGCGGGAAGCAGAGGCTACTGTCACGGACCCTGTACCCATTAAGAAGCAGCGTTTGGACTCAGTAAATGAAACCGATATGTTAGATTCATCTCCAGATTCCGGAATAGCTTTAGACGTGTTTGATGGCCTTCTTGACTTAGGTAAGATATTGAAATTATAAAACGACACAGAGTCCGCAAAACCTTGTAAGACATAATTAAGATAATTTACTGTGGCAATTATTGACCGTTAGCGTGCTTTACTACTACAATTTGTAAGCCTACACATGATTTTGTTACACTGAATGGGGCGTCCGTGGTCGAGTGATTAAAGTCCCTGACCATAAACCACTTGCTTCTCACTGCTGTAGGTTCGAGCCACGTGTTTTCGGATACTAAGTGTGAGAAAGCTATCCAGCTAGCTTAAGGGTGCCCGTTTGTGCCTGAAATAATACAAAGAGTCACATCTTAGGTCTTCCTCTACCAGTGAAGCTGGGAATTCCCCATATGACCTATACTATGTTGATGCGACGTAAAACCCAACCAAAAAAAAAAAAAATAAGTTACACTTAAAAATATTAGTTTTCTTTTTAAACTTTTACTCGTCTTTTGAAATTTTTTGTGTGTCCACACTCTAATAATTGATTCTTTTTTGCTGTGTTTAGATCTTACCGAGTTCACAATCACCGTTGAAGATATCAAACCGGAAGTGAAACCGGCGTTTGTCGAGAATCACGAGATGGAGTTCCTGATTGACGCAATCATGTCGTGTCAGGAGGCTGTTTACCCAAATCTGAAGAAACATTATAAATACGCCCGTGTTATGGAACAGCAACATTACAAATACTTTGTACGTAGACCGGAATATTTTTTCTTGCTGATAATTACACGTTAACCGTGGTGTTATTCTTACTAAAATATTTCGTCTAAAATATTTCAGTTTCTGTAACGATACCGGTTTGTTCAAAGGTATTTGGTTTATTTGTCTCATGAGAAATACCTCATTTGTCCGTATTGCCCAGGTTGTCCCACAACCTGTACGGACAAGTGGAAATTTTCAAGAATTTATTATATAAATATCATACAGACAAGGTGAGAAATGCTTTAGATAAAAAAACGGACAAATAAGTCAAAATAAGATTTTCCCGGCCCTGGCTTTTATTTATTTCTTAATTACTAGTAATAATTATTCATTTTATTTTGTTGTCAATTTACAGGAGGAGTTTAATCTGAAAGAAGAAGTATTTGGTGATCTTTTTGGAACACAGAATAGTTTTGTATCCACAGAGGAATATCAACAAATATTTGCAGAGACCGGCCTTGACCTTGATGATAGGCTGACAACGTTTAACAAGAAAGGGAAGTCGATGGAAGAAAATATCGCCCAGTACGTCAACTTTGCTAAACTGGTACCAGGCTTTAAGGCATTGAACCCCAAGGATGTGTCAAGGCTTCTCAAAGGTTTATATTTATACATGTTTAATATACATATTCTTAGACTCCGCTAACTATTTGAACGACTTGTGTAAGGTGTTACTTTAATTAAGTTTTCGTTAATTGTTTTACGTTAATTGTTTTACGAGACATCGGCTTTTGGTGTGTTTAATTCTCGGATGCCGTTCAGTTTCTGCGAGTACCAATAGGTACTTTATTTACACGGGTTGGTACTGGTTAGTATACTAAAAGATACCCCTGGGGTGTCCTAAAAGTAGAACCCAGGAAGACTGTAATTCTAAACAGCCGCAGTTTGTTATTCATTGTACATCCAGGCTCCGTTTTATATATTTAATACTTTTAAACTAAGATGTTGAAAATGTTACCTAAAAATAGACATAGCTGTATATATAAGTTAAATGCGAAAAAATACGTTCATCCCAAAAAAGTTCAAAACGTTATTTATATTTACTGTATCCATTGTATTATTCTAAAACAATTACATCTAGGATGTTTTTTCTTCTCCTTATTCATGTAATCAATATTTCAAAATGTAAAAAAATTGTATCACTCAAGAATCATCTGTTTACACATTTCAGCTGCACATATGGAATTCTACATGCTTGGGAACTATATGTTGTGTAATGGAAAACTCGGAGTGTGTAGTAGTGCCGACGGTTATGCAGTGTCACACAAAGTTGACATGATAAAATTCTTCGACAAAGACATCATTGAAACTATTCTGGAATACTCTGACAGAATCAAGTTGCTTGACCTGACATTAGTTGAAATAGCCCTTCTAAGATTGATCGTACTTACGTATACAGGTAGGCTTGTTGTCCTTTCGCCATTTTTTTCTTGCAAGTGTGCTTGATTGTTGGCTTAAGACTCAGAATAATGTTCTTCATTCATTTGGAGAAAATTTCCATATTTTCTCAAGGGGTGCTTGATTATTTGCTCAAAATTCAGAATAAGGTTCTTCATAGGAGACATTCGATTAACAAAGCGTTTCTTGGGATGATAAGTCATATTTAATTTTATTAGCTGTTTGTCAGAAATGGTACACTTTGTACTTTGACACATTTTAAATCAAGCGTTATTCATACCAGGAAAAAAATAAAATCATTAAATTTAAATTGTTTCTTGTGAAACAATCGCAGTGCAAATGAAGTGTTTTATCATTTTTTTCTTTCCTCTTATTAAATTTCTTAAATGCTTAAGCAATTCAGAATTCAAGATTTATAACTAAATTGTTAAAGCTAAAATAACAACAACATCAATTTCTATATTGATTTAAATCTTAACGCAAGGATATTTCATTTTGGTACACACGTGCATTTATTCTTTTTATTTGTAGATCGATGCACTTTGTCTGACCCTCAAAGAATACAACATTTACAAGAGAAATATGTGGAATGTCTTCAGTACTATCTCAACAAAAATTCTCCAAACCCTGGACAGCGTCTCTACAAATTGTTTAACCTTCTTTTGTCACTTCGTGACGTCACCGATCTTAATATAAAAGCGAACAAAAAATTCTTAAATGAATGGGACTTTGTTATGCATGACTATCCGCTATGGAAGGAAATGCTCTCATATGATGGTGAGTGAGCACGTGGACTTCACGTGGTCTAAACTCTGATGACGCAGTCGAGCCTTCTTTTAAATTAATTGTGTCGAGCGAATGAAAGGACTGATACCGGAGAGTACGACTGTTTTTAAGTACGAATGTGCAGTTGTATTTTTCATAGCTGTAGTAAGATGACAAATAATCAGAAAATATTTTGCTTGTTTTCTTTTGTATATAACTAGATCTTTTCTTAATCTAAGTAGTAAGGTCTTATTATATGTACATGGGTAAAAACAGTGAAATGTATATACATTGTATATTTAGGGGGTGGGGGCAGGGATAGTAGAAAATACATGTAATGTAGATCTTCTTTTTACATGGTATTAGTACAGTTATTGTTTATTATAGCAAAATTGTGGTAGCCACATACCTTGTGATTGTTTTCTTTGTACATTTATTGTTGATCAATGCGTAAGTTTTGGTGGTCCTATACCTTTTGATTTGGATTTGTGTACTGTACAGTTGAACTGGTTTTTTACACACATATTAAGTTGTATATTATATCATAATATTTTTTATTGACAGTGTGAGTTTCAGGGTGTAGTAATGCATTGGTGAAAAGTCTTTTGATCTCAGATATTTAAGTTCTTGTTTTCGGATATGTTTTGCTTTTTTTCTACTGAGGAGTTTGGTGTTGTTTTTTTTCTATGAAATTCGTTTTATAATTAAATACTTTACTTGTTACAAAGTGTATGCGGTTCTAATTGCAAACAACAATCACTTTTTAAAAAAAAATGTTACTATGATTTGTTTTAATTGAAATTGTTTCTATATATTGTTGTATTATTTGTTGATAGAATCTTTCTAATAAACTTTATGATTTATATAGACTTGTACACACAGTCACGTGATTTTATCTTATTCCTTCTTATATTAACGCCAGCGTTCATATGTCCGCTCTGTAAAAAAAGAGAGAAAAAAATGATCTTAAAAAAAGAGAATACTCTGCCCATGGTGAACATAGTGTAACCATAACACTGGGAGGAATTGTTACACCAAGGATTGAGTTCGTACGATAACTTATCATGAGTTCTTATGATAACTATCATGGAGTTCGTCGGAAAACTTTTGTATATACTACAAAAACAATCGTCAATAATGGTCATTTTCTTCTTAAAAAGGCGAGTTTTAGGAACTAAATTAAACTTCAATGATTAAGATTGCCTTACATCTTGTATTATGTGTCGAAAACTAATTCAGAGTCCATTTTTCATTGCCTCTTGTTTAAAATTTAGTAATTTTGAGGAAATTTCCAAATTATCGTATTGACCTGTTTATTTCTGGTCTTCATCCTTGCCATACTTGCCATGTTATAACAAATTTATACCTGATTTTTCAAATATCCTTGAGTTCTTATGATAACTCTAAAGATGTTCTAGCTTTTGTTGCTGCCAGTGTGTTTCTCACGCTAAACCACGGCGGTTTTTTAATTATTTGCAGCTTTTTATTATTCAATAAGGTTGTAATTCATTATGAAACGTAGTACAAAAACGAGGATATATAATGTTGGCTTTGAGTGTATTTTAGTTCAAGAGATACTATTTATTACCCACGTTTCTTGTGCAATTTTGAAGAGTTTTGTTTGTAGTATATATAAAAGATTTCCGACTAACTCCGTGACAGTTATCACAAGAACTCCTGACACGTTATCATAAAAACTCCATCCTTCGTGTAACAGTTCCTCCCCCTTGCATCAGTAAGTTAGCAGCGTTTAATTATTGATTAAACCGTTCAATTATTCAGTATGCTCAATTAAAACTGAAATGGAAGAGCATTGCAATGCACAGAAAATGAATTTACTGCGGAGATGTTAAGTTATTCAAGAACATTAAAGGTAAAATGCGTTACAGGCTACTAGTGTTTTCACTATAATATTATCATTCAACATATAGAGACCTACATGATGGAATATATTGAAATAATTCGTACGTAATATATAGGTACGATTGCATACTAACTTCTGTGAAGACTTTTATGCTTGCTGCATGAAAGCCGTAATGTAAAATGAACAAACATGTCATCAGATATTTTATATTTTTAAACATTTTATTTGAAATACTTTACACTACATAAGTAGATTGGACCTGGAACCCAGCAGTGCTGTGTGTATTTGTAAATTACAGGGCTGAAGAGTTTAATATCCTGTAGAGTAAGGGAAACAACTCTTACACAATATAACACGTCTTCATGGGATGGGTTGTCTTTCTTGTAAATACGAAATGACTATATTTTGTTATGCATCAACACATTTTATTCTTAACAATGTTGACATACAGCTCTAAGCATCACCATATATGTTTACAGCTGTACAAACCGCTGCTTGGATATAAAAAATAAAACGCTGAGACCCTTTAACAAGTATAACAGACACTTTAACAAGTATAACGGAATTTAAGTGCAAAGTCTTGGTAAGTTTGAGCAAATTTTAGTAGTAATATGTCTTTTGTGTTGTTTGTTTTGATTCAAATCTCGCTAAAACTGTAAACAATATGGCTACTTCCTAGCTATGCTTGTAGAGGAAGACCTCAGGTCCAAAAAGAGCCACTCCTTGCATTTTCAACGCACGAGCGGAATCATAAGTACAACCAACGATGTTGATTAACGTCCAATATTACTGGCGGAATTCGAACCTACAGCGATGAGGAGAAAGTGGATTGATGTCAAAGAACCTAACCACTTGGCCACGGATGACACGTATAGTTCCATGTAAATGTAGAGTATACAGTTTATTCTTTCTACGACACTTGTTTCCAAAAACGTAAAAACAACAGTGAGAGAGAGACGGAGTATCTTTTAAAATGGTTTCACCAACTAACCCGTCATAAATCGCTGTTTATAAAGCACAGTAGCTTTATGAATGTGTCACGATCCAGAACTGTTCACTATTTTTAGGGGAAAAGATGTGTAAGCGGCCGGATAGCTCAGTCGGTAGAACCGCGGAATGGTATTCCGAGAGTCCTGAGTTCGAGTCCCGGTCAGGGTGCACATTTTTCTCACTCTGTGACATTTGGCACCCAACGTGGGGCCGTGACTGCATATCACTCAGACATTAATTTACATTGCTCTGTAACTCTGTGAAATTCGAGGACGAATTTCAATATAGCAGGGGAGTATGTCACGGTTCAGAACTGTTCACTATTTAAGGGAGAAGATGTGTAAGCGGTATTCCGAGGGTCCCGGGTTCGAGTCGCAGTCAGGCTGATCATTGTTGTCACTTTGTGACAGATGGAAATAAATAACAAATACATATAGAACTAAATTCTGTATTGTATGTTGACTGCAAGTTATTCGAGCTTCTTTTAAACAACTCACTAGTATATAAACATGTATAAGAAATGGATAAGGGTACTAAAATTCTCTTGTATCTTTATTATCCACATGTCAGCAGGGAAAAGTGCTCCAGGTACCCAGATTTGGGAGGTAATTTTATATCAGTGGTGTTTTTACCCAGTCAGCTAGCTTGACAAAATATACGCTATTTTTTTGTCCCAGATACGAGTAAGTCCTATATGGGCTATACCTGGACTATCCAATATGGAAACCGAATGAAATACAAGTGGGGAAATACATTTAGGTGCGTCTATATAAATCGTAAAACCCATATTACTAACAAAACACTAATTTAACATATAGCATAATATTATACAATCCTGGATATTTAAAGACAAAGTCCATAAAATTAATTAAAATAACAGTTTATTTATGTATTAACTAAACGTAATACATTTATATACATGTATATAAAGGATTTTTTCATATAAATTTTACAAAGAAACTGATACTTCACTGGTTCACTTAATTCTGAAAGATGACCTTAATTATTTGTACGTTTATGGCATGATGTTAGAAAAGGCGTGTGTAAGGTCAATTGATAACCAATGCCATACTCGTGAAATGCAAACTCAAAAAACAAAAAGGCGGCTATAAAAATCAACGAATCATTTGACGTTATACCGCTAGTTTGAAGGCTATAATTATGTTGATTTTTACACGTGTTCATTCTGGTTGAGTTATATATCCCAGGTGAAACAGCTGTGAATTATTGCAAGGACCAGCGGAAACCTCAACCTAACCACAAACCTTCTACGGTAAAGCTGCACACAAAACATAATCCGGTGTTCGAATTCACTACGGCGTGAACTTCAAGATCAGCCAACTTTATATTTTGGACACGGAAACAAAGTACCAGAATGCAGTGAATTTTTTGTGTGTTTTGAGCAAGTTTGTGTATTTAATTTTTTTCTATCAGACCTAAGCACCACTGAAAGTAATCCGACGTGTACAAGTTTTGTCAATTTGCTAATACTCTATATAGCTTAAAATGGATAACTACTTCCCTACCAAATAACAAATACCAGAATGTTGTTTGTGGTTTATGATGGATTCGAGTTCAACATCGCTATGAAAAGTATTGTAACTAGAAGGGTCAATGTTGTAAAAAAGACAAAATTAAACGTTTCATCCATCAAAACAATATCTTCATATGAATACTCAAAATCAATTTTCCCCTCTTTATCATGATCAGTATTTGCCTCGGTATTGTCCGTCCATGCACCGCCTTCTTTTCCTGTTTGCTCTGATAGACCAACTTTAGCTGGATTATCAACTTGTACTACAACTGACTGCGCAATTGTTTCGTCTCCAGTTTTGGGCCTCCGTCTGAAAAGATAACACGAAGGTATACATCTATAGTTTATCAGAGTGTTTAACGTCCGGAGATGTATAGCTATGTATAATTATTTAATGTTGTTAAAGTTACCATGTCCAACCTTTGTCGGTATTATTAAAGAGATACTTTGCTCATCTTTGAGTAAAATACTGTTATCGTAGAAATTATTGAAATCTATGAAATTCTTCTAAGTATATCTAATTTGAATAAAAGAAAGTGTAAATTATGTATGGGAGCTACATTCCCTATTATGGGTCAAGTAAAGATGGTTCTTTCTGCCAGTTTTTGTGACACTATTTATTCATATTGTGTCAACCTCCAGTGTATTGAGCTTGAGCTTAAAACGTAACATACATTGTATTTACTTTGTTTAAAGTCAAAACACGTTTATTTTATATTCCAAAATAGACTGTGAAGCAGTTATGAATATTTCCGAATTTAAAATTTGAGCACAGTATATCTTTAACTAGAACTATCACTAAATGTGATTAATACCCCCGCAAGACTGCTTCGGAAATGATGATGTTACTAGTAACGAATACCTTGTAAAAGAATTGAAATATAGATTTATGGTTGTGGGCAATTAAAGATAGTTGTGGTTCTTATATGCTGCATTTCCTTTCAATGTGGTTGGCCATTGATGAAGTTTAATTGAATTACTCTGTAATAAGTCCAGAAAGACAAAGAAAAGGAACAAAGGGCAATGACTCTATAAATACTGAAGATAGAGTTATAGTTCTTGTGCACTGCACTTCCTCTTATTGTGCTTGACCATTGTATGAAGTTGTTTTGAATTCCAACCAGTACGTTTTAAGTTATGCTCCTGACAAGGAAAAGTATCA